ATTTGAGAAAAATTGGTTAAAACCCGCAGGAGCATAACTCGTTTGAAAATCAGTAATTACCGTAAAATTTTTCGTGAGAAAATTGAATTTGAATATTACATTTTCAATGTTTTTCTTATTGCAGCGAAATGTATTTTATTATTACAAATAACTCTGCGAGTTTTAAACATTTTTCGTTCAAACTTGGTCAGATAGTAGAACTAGTCTAATGCTTTCATTGAAACCAATAAAAAAGTGTTAGTGTAAAGCGCTTATACTGTACGTCGAGTAATTCTGCTGCTTACCCTTCCAAGGCCATGTCTATCAAGTGTTTAATTCCACACTCTTCAAACACCTAAGAACAGGAACATTGATTATCGAATCCACATTATTAGAGAGATTATTAAGTAGCCTTTTATTAAATAATAATTTATTAAAAACAAAACATATAAATTACATAATGAAGATCATTACCTTTTCCTGGCTGGCTTTGTGAGAAAAAACTTGATTGAATGTAAATGGCTTACTCTGACCAAAATTATTATCAATCTACATGAAAATAAATTGCATTAAATGCATTGAAAGTTTAAATCGTTGAGTGGATCACTGTTGCCCTTGATGGGTAAAATTGTCTGGTGTTAGACAGAGTAAAATAATAAAGTACAGTAGGGCTCATTAGCGTGCAATGGTCTCCTGATAGCTTTTGAATACAATGAGTTTGCCACCCTATTGAAGCCTTATTCATCATATTATGTGCATTTTTGTGTATAATTGACGAATTGTCTAGTTGTCGACTGTTGAATCTCCTGTTGTTATTGAAGTTTATACAGTAACAGTGAGAGTTATTGTATGGGACAGATTAGGGTATAATACTTATGGATTTTCAGGGGGAATACTAAACAGCTACATAAACTTTGACTGATCCTGGTAGCTGAGAAAAAAATTAACGTTCAGACCCTGAATAGATGTATAAAATTTACACTTGAAATTTCAAAATACAAAATCCTTCTACAATTAGCTCTCAGGTGAGATGCCCAGAATCTTTTTGTGTATAAAGTAACCTTACCCACACAGCGGCTCCTTCGTCAGGAACATTAACAACATCTTGATCCTTCCTTTGCTTTTCAGCCTCAGCTAATGGCCGCACCCTACAAGCAATCAAGACATTTTCATCACAAGGAATTTCCATCATGATGCTTGGGCTGGCTGAAGCCGGCATCCTAGCTCCCTGATAGTTGATGGACTCAAGACCACTGAGACTGGGCCTGTCTGATGTCTGAGGTAAAGTAATCATAAATCTTTTTGTAAGACATTAATTTGTTGGATCTTGGTGTCATATTCTGCATTAATCTTTTAATATAATGAATGATGGTGATGGATTTTTGTACTGTCGGCCTGGGCACGTTTAGTGATTAAGCCATCATGAATGACTACAAACCCTCATAGTCCCAAAGAATGCTAATCATGCCTGGATATAAATAACTGAGCATTTATTGAATTTTAACAGAATTAATTCAATGATCAAATTTTCCACTTTATTAGTTCATAAATCACATTTCTGACAATTCTACTGTACATAGCAAGGATGATTGCTGCATCAGACCACTGAGGGCTCTCAATTGAGGGTTTTGTTAGAAAATTTTAAAGTAAAGTGATCATGATCTTTCTAAAATATGGACACTCAAAGATATGCCTAATATTGAGCACATTCCCATTGGCCAATTGCCTCAGGGTCGGCCTGGGTCGGCCCTCCAGTCCTCGCACGAAGCTCCTCGCAACTCACTGCGAGTATTTGCATCTAATTAAAATGAACTGTTTAGCATTGTGATTGGATGAAAGTGCTCATGCATCACTCGCAACGAGGAGCTTCGTGCGAGGACTGGAAATCCACCTTTAGGTTAACCCTAAGTTAACATGAAATTCAAAGCAGCATTTCCATATTTTTTCAGAAATCTTTTCTGGGATCACCCGAAGTTTAAATTTGTAAAGTTTTTAAATAAACAGAGAGACGCAGAAATACAATAAACCAAAGTAAATTGAGTTAAATTTAGTCCAGAGTTAGCACTTAATAATCATGCTTTCAACAACCGGTCCCTTAAATACAGTATATGACTTGTTATTAATAAAATTTTAACACCTTGTATAATCTTAGCAATATATTCTTTCAAACATATGTATAACATACACCACCTTACAACAACTTGAATATTATCACCCGAGCTTCCACTGTCAGAGCGTTCACCATCTTCAGTGGTCGATGATCTCGGTGACGTTGACTTTGGCTCTTTACTGGATGGAGTTGAAAAATATAGAAGAAAGACATACACTGTCAATTAGTAGGACAGAGTATGGTAGCTGATAGTCTATGATAGTTTCCAAATTTTTGGCACGTTTTCAGAAAAAGAGAAAAATCAACCTCCCCCCCCCCCACCCTGTCATTGAAGTCCTATAATTAAAGCTCACACTATACATGACAAAACATGTGAGACTTATGTACACCTTTCAGTTTAATTCTAACAAGGGAGGGGGGGGGGAGAAAAGCAGGATTACTTTATAATTTGTTACCCCAGAGATATTTGTAGAATCCCTGGGTGGTATCATCTTTAAGATGGGCTTACAGTATCAGAGAGGGGGTGGCCTAATAAAGAGGGGGGGGGGGGCATAAGCAGGAACACATTTGAACCACTCTCCCCTTGACAAGTAAAATTGTCTGGTGTCAAACACAGTAAAACAATAAAGTAGGGTGTGCCAGGGTGCATTGCCATTTAAAGGGTTAACAAGATGCATGGGCCGATTACTCAACTATGGAGAGTTTTAGGGGATGTTCATATGATCCCACTTAACAAAATGTCTCGCCTAGTGGGGCGAATATTAATTTGCCAAATTCAACCGAGATCTCAGCAAGTGGGTCAGCTCGCTTTCTCGTATGAACACAATGCAAAATTTTATAGGAAAATAACTAGACATACTAGACAGGTATAAAATCATCGGTAAACGGGACGTCCCGGTAAGTGGGATGATATCAACAGACACTAAGATATATTTCACTAAGAAACATATTTTAATTGTTGTTTATAATAATTACCCCTAGCAACTGCCAAAATATAGACAGTATGAATGCAGGTGAAATTATATACCAGCTAAGCTATGTACATGTAATGTTTTAAAAGTCTTGCATTACTAATTTAGCAAATTTTGACATTGTTGAAATTATATTCAAAATTTTACTGCTTTTTTACCTAATAGCAGTAAAACAACACTGCCAACATTTTTGCCCACGTTAAATAGGCTATGTGTCTTATATTTAATATATGATACGGCACTGTGTTGCCAGCTGCGTGCCAATTAAAATTGTCAATATTTAATATCTTATCGAGTATCTTATCGAGTTTGCTACAGACAGTATATGCAAATTACACAATGCCAATATGTATATTAAATTACCACGAAGCATCAGAGAATTAAAAAAAAAAGACTAAATTTACTGCTGTTAAATTATAACACCGTAGGATCCAAATTATTTTATCACATCCAATTAAATTACTGTACTCATATTTACTAAAAAGTGCGAAAGAATTGCAATCAATTGTGTGTGGGCAATATCACACACCTGTCGTGTTTACAAAAAACAAACCAAATGTTTGCGCCTCCGTGTATAGAAACACGAGCTACACGCAAACCAATGTTTTAAATAGTTTAACGAAAATGACAAACAAAAATACCTTTGAGAAATGCCATTGGACGTCTTTTCCCCGTGCTCGTGCGAAGGACCCGCAACGCTTTTTAATCCAGGTCGTTTAGCCTTCGTTGTAGTTGTTGTGGTTTGTGCCTTTTGGCTGGCTTGCATCACGCTGTGAAGCGTTTACTTTCTGCGGAAATGTAATAAACGACCACAGTTGCTCGGCACACGGCTTAAATACGTTCACAAACAACGGTAAATCTCTTTGTTCGCGTCGACATGAAAGCAAATAGCGAGAGACCATCTGTAAACATGATTACACAAAAGACAAATTAACTACGACGCTAGCCCCAAGTTGATTAAATAGACTGTTTCCTTTAACTATCATTCCAAAACGATTGTAAAGCAAACTAAAATACAGTACCTGTGAGTAATTGTGCAAGGTTTTTCACACGCGATTATAGGTCGTAATCTTTCCGCGTTGTTTTTTATAAATAGTGGTCTTTTTTATACGCATCCATTGATAAATATACACTTCCGCTGCGTAGCAACGCAGCAACGCTACACTCGACAATGTTGTTCAAAATTTAATGCTCGCCTATTCTCTTTGTATTTCGACAAACATTATGTTTACTTTGATAGCTTTGTTCAAATTAATCTGTCGGAAATTGCCCAGAATTTTGATTTTAATCGCATTGCAATGTTATCTTGCCAATTTGCCTACATTTCACACGAGTTAATTTGTTTGTCGTATGTTATATGATGCCCCCCCCCCCCGTTTAGTTAGGTTTCTCACTTAAGACAGGGGGGCGGGAAAGTTTGTTGCTATCCTAATGGTGGTGCACAATCTGCTACAAATTGCGTTGTATTAGCCAAAATTCCAAAATGAAAATTGGCGCAGACTGTAATACCATGGATAATAAAAACACATTGCGAAGGACGCAGCTCAACCCAGGGACGCCGGAACTGGGGGGGGGGAGGAGGGGCAGCCGCCCCCATTGCCCTTTACCAGGAGGGGCAAGGGGGGCAAGGGGGACAAAGGTGCCCTTTCAATTTAAAGGATTGCCTGGGCGAAATAGCGAATTGTCAGAAATGTTCTGAGTGCAATTCGTTTACAAATTTGCTTCAGAAAACGCAAGAAATGCAGTCATCGAGCTTCAAGAATAGCACAATCGCCTGGCGGAGAACCCCCTCGCACCCCTATCATCCAATAAAAAGAAAACATGATTAGGCGATGTTCAACTGCCGATGTTTTGCAAACATCTCTTAGTATATATCAATTCAAAAGTGCCCTTTCACGAAAATCTCCCCCCCCCCCTTGCCTTCACATCGTTCCGGCGTCCCTGATCCTAATGGTGGTGCACAATCTGCTAAAAATTGCGTTGTATCAGCCAAAATTCCAAAATGAAAATTTGGCGCAGACTGTAATAGATAGATAGATTGATTTAATAAGAAAACACATTGCAGCCAAGTACGACTGGATTGCGTGTTACTTTACAACAATGGTAATTATGAGAATAAAGTTTATCTAAAAAAGGTATATAAAAGAACGTTACAAATTTGTTAAAGTGTGTAACTCAGTATATAAATTATGTATTTACAAAGTTAAAACTACGAATATTAGGCTTAAGAGAATTCTTTAATACAAGAAGGAATAAATGTTTTTAAAAATCTATCAGTTTTAATCACTGGTGTTTGGAAGACACGTATACTACGCAAGTCATTGGTGATAGGTGGACGTGCAGGAAACAAATTCGACAACTTGTGTGCAGGGTCCTTAGTTATCTGATTGTATAGTTTGGAGCAGGCATGCCTTCGACGATCGCTTAAGAGTGTCAAGTTAGCTTTGTCCAAACGCTCGCTGTAAGACAAACCGGGAAAGATTATGGATGTAACTCTTCTCTGGACTCGTTCTATGTTATCACTGAGATACTTAGGCAAAGCAAAGTGAAATACCTCACAAGCGTATTCCAGAACCGGTCTGACACAGCAACAATAAAAGTTTAGAATTTCTTTGGCTGGTATTTTAGCTCGTTTTAATTGGACTATGAAGAAGATTCTCTTGTTGGCTTTCTTTATTATGTTTAGGACATGCGTAGACAATCTTAAATCATCACTAACCGTAACACCTAGAATTTTAGCTTGGCGAACCAGGTTTGGACACCCCGCAAGAAGATGGATATAATCAAAGGATACTCTATGTCTGTGGAATTGAAACAAAAGCTCTTTGCATTTTTGGACATTCAATTGGAATTTGTTCTGCGAGTTCCACATTTCAAGTTCGTTAGCTCCAGATTGGATTTGGCTGGTTCCGTTTCTTGGGATAGTTT